TTTAAAATTAAATTATATTATTTTTTCCAAGTTTCTCAGGCCCCATTTGAGCGACAGAGTTCGTTTTGGCATCGTTGGATAGAGAATTGAAAACTCGATTCAGTCATAACAACATGAGTGAAGAAATTCTAGCAGTTTTGACCCAGAAAGCGAAATTTCAATATCAGACAGTTAGGTGCAAGATTATGCCAAAATTTCGTGTTTTCGGTCCCGTTTTTGCTCATATCTCGGAAGCAAAAGGTGCAAGAACGCTCAGTTTTACATCATTTCACAGAGAACTAAATGGCCTTTTTAGAGAGTGCGCCATCGATAAGGAAATGTTGGCAGTTTCCTCAAAAAAGTCTTAGTTTCACGACGTTTTAGATTTGCGTCTTTTTTTTTGAGTGGCAAAATCGACTCAAACTTGACGCTGCTTTTTTCGAAGTTTCTCAGGTCGTTGCATAAAAGTATTTGCTCAAACGCGGGTTTTATACGTTCAGTATTTAAGCTCTGGTTAATATTCTTCAACGAGAGGTTCTACATTTTGCTCTTCTTGGGTTTGTGAACTAATCCAAGACTAAAAGAATTAAACTTAATTGAGAAGGTTTAATCATAAAGGAATCACAGGGTATATGAATGAAAAAAAAAATTTTGATGCGTGGTAAACACAATTAATCATTGAAAATAAGCCCTAATAAATTCGTTTTACATATTTTGCAACTATAAGCTGAAGAGAGATTCGTATCGTCTGCGTTGCGTGATAGATAATAAGAAGACGGAACCCATGTTTTCTGAAATAACCGAGGTAAACTCAAATATGTTTTCAATTAAATTCAAAACATATTTATTATATATTATTACAAAACAGTAATGATGTTTATCATTTTATGTTAAATATGAAAGATCACAAAATAGATATGTAGATGGTGATTATTTGTTGTTACAAATTAAAATAACAAATAATAGAACATATTCTTGCATAAAAAGTTGTTAATAATAGTTGTGACACTTTATTTGCACTTAATCTTGAGCGTTTTTCATAAATTGACCCTGCCTTCTTTAGAAAATATCCTCTCAACATCTGGTTTAACAATTGTTTCCCATGAAAATCACTAAACAAGTAGGTAGTAATATTTTACCAGTTCGGTACTTTGAATCGTTCAATACAATGCAAATGTCCGTCATCTGGGCAGCATCTGGACTACAGACTGAGAGTAAAACATCGTAAATCGTAAACATCGTAAAAAAAAATCGGTATCGGGATTCTATCGATACGATTTAATTTAATTTAATCTTTTCTTGATGCGAATTTGCGTCCACAATCAATCAAGCGATTTAAAATCGGTCCAAAAGTTTTTCAAAAACTTTATTGTAGTGGATCTTAGGCACAATTTTGTTGCACAACATCGATTGTTAGTTCTTAAAGCAATATTTAACAGTGCACGGCAATGTGCAATCTCATTTGCAATGATAAATACCAGGACGCGTGAAGATTTTCAAAAGTTTGTAATACATTTTTCTGCAAATTAATGGACGATCCGCATTTTTTTAACTTAAACTGCTTTCGTGTGTATAATTGTGTATGTACTTTAATTGGAAATTTAAATGAAGGCGAAACGCGAACAGGCATTTAGTATCTGCAGTATCTGCAGCTTATCCCTTGATAATTTATTAATTCATTGTTATCAGCGTTATAAACTAAACTGCACCGAACACAATAATATCACATTCAATAATTGATAAATCAAAATCACTGTCAGTTTAATAACGCAATGTGTATTTGAAAGGTTTATCAGATCTACAGATGCACCCGCACTAAGAGAAAAATGTCGAATTCAAAGTGCATATGTGCGTCCCAAGCCTCAGGCGCGAAGATGCCGGAGTGGGAGCCGCCGTTACAGAATATGTCCGGCAAAACAAATGTCCTTGAAGCGCATAAATTAAAATTCAGTCAAGTCTTCTGTTCCATCTCGGAGCAGCTAAACAAAGGACAGTCCAACGTTGCCATTTACCACGATTGGTCATTTCTAATCTAACGCCACTTTTATTCGTAACAACACATTCCATGTTGTTCCATTGAAGTTGAAATCAAAATAATTATGATGGATTTAAAGACCCGACGGCCATCGAAGAATGTAGAGCAGCAAAACTTTGCAATGTAACAGACCTTCATAACACAAAATATCCCCCCTAGGGGGTATGTTCTGTGCTTCATAATACCGATGTGTTACACAGATTGTGCGAACCTCCCATTCTTGGTCCATGATTATCAGTTTGGCTTGTGCGAACGCGCTTTTAACATACAGTTGCTGACGGTGGCTGAACTTGAACAAATTGATCACGCACGTTTGCCACATCTCAGAAGTTAACTGTCGGCATTCAAATTTAATTCATCTAAATAAGCTGCCATTAAGAATGACTATCTCCACTATTATTGCTGTTGTCTGCGGATGACACTGCCGATTGCAACTAAACTTTCGGATGTGATCAGTTCGCCAAGAGTTCTGAAAACAAATTCTGGTCAATTATGAATGAACATACCTATTCGAACAGTGCTCCATATACTTTTTCAGCAGTGCTCACATTGCTCACAATATTATAATTGACAATTGCAGCCAACATTCAAATTTTTTAAATTTTTCTTACCTTACTGCCTAACTGAAACATCTCGTCCGGGCAATACGCATTGCCAGTTGCCTGCGAGTTACAACAGTCCTCTATTTGATCATGCGTGCAGGCAGAGACACTCAGCTGCTGCCTGCTGAGCTTTACATCAAAGCGCCCTCTACGGCATCATGATGATATAATTGTCGTAATCGTTCATTATCTGACTGCAAAAGGACGAATGTGTTTTAGTTTTAGTTAATGCATGAAATACTGATCGTCTAATAGTGGTGTTAAAGATAAGTACAACGTTATTAATAATTTGGTTGGACGTACCTTTGATCCACTCGATAGAAATTTGTGGTAACTGCGCCGCCTACTACGTAGTCTCGTCTCACTTTTCGTGTATAGAAACTTTAGGTTAAGTGTGTGAATAAGACACTAACCGCTAGAGTGCTCATTCCTCACTGTCTACATTTGCGCTGAATCCTGTAATGTTCAATGGCGTGAGCAGTATATTTACAGGTATTTAATCATTTTTACCTGTTTCACTTGAAAATGTAAAAGTGATGAATAGTTTTGCAACTGGGCAGCTTTTTAATGTAGTTTTAAGTTCGAAGGCATAATTAGTTATTTCCACTGCTTTAGAGGCAACACAACGATGTCAGAAGCAAGAGGCAATGACCAGAATGGCGGGGCCACAAAAGAACCAGCATTTAGTGAAAGAGACAAGGCCATGTTAGTTCAAGTGTTTGCACAGCCATGTGCCAATTCGGACTGTACTAAAAGCACCTCGGATGAATCCAGCAGCAGAACTGACACAAGCCCAAATAGTCAAATTGAAGCCCAATGCCAGTCAGTTCTAGCTAACACCATTCAGAATCCAGAAGGTGCTGAGATAGTAAACAACTCGACAAGTGAAAGGGACAACGCTGTCGCTAAAATAGACCTTGACGAGGTGTCCAGTCATTCTAGGGAGCTCAAGTCCCTTCTGGCTCTGTCCAAGGAAGCCAATTTAGACACCAACATTCCTAGGAAGCGCAAGTCAAATAGTGTGAAACGAAAGCTGGAAGGTGAAACACGTCTTAGTGCTGGCAAAGGATTTAGAATTCAATATCCTGTGACTGCAGAAGCTGAACTTGAAATGGAGCTTCATAGTGCTGAAAGATCCAAAATGGATTTCCAGGAGGATGACAGTTCTTCAACAAATCTGACCCCCCCGAAAGGCTTTAAGCAGAAAAAAAGTGGCGCATCTGAAACCTCAGGAGAGAGCATCCATGAGGATAGCGCTAGAAAGAATCGAAAACCGTTCATAGGCGATCTGCCAATATTTAAAGTAAGTTCCTTCGTTTTTCAAATTGCTTATTGATGACATTGTAAGGGTCGGTCTGAATTTTATACTTTTCCGATTTTGAAAATTTCAAAGCAGTACAGAAGAGTACAAGTTGTCCCGCCAGTGTGCACACACACAATACAAAACTTTGCAAATACCTACACGTTTTTAATATTCAATTGCATTATACTAAACATGACCCATGGTGTTTTCAGCCAAACAAAGACATATTTTGCTGGAGATGTCACAAAGACAGTGTAAACATATGTTGCGAAACTTGCCCACGAAGCTATCATCAAAAATGTCTCAAGCAAACCATTTCGGATCCAGACCATTGGCCATGTCCAGAGTGCGTTTCTATTTTAAAAGCTGAAAGCATGAATTCAAGGTACTTATTCATAAACTGTCCAAGCAGCACAATGTCAATTTTCTATTCTTTATCTTTTTTCGTTTAAGGTCGACAGCCATGAGGGAAATGACATTAGAGCATCTTTGCAGTCTGCTGAAATTTGCAGCGCAGCGAATGGTGCAATGTCAAGGGGTAAATATACTGAGAAAATTAATTCGTCAATTTCAAATTTTAATTGATACACTATTATTGCAGTCTGAACCCTTTATTCATGCGGTAAATGACAACGACTTTCCAGAGTACAAAAAGTATATTATTCAGCCTATGAATTTAACTTTGCTCGAGAAAAACATCAAAGATAACGTGTATGGCAGCACTCAAGCATTTGAGGCGGACGCAAAGTGGATTTTGCATAACAGCATTGTATTCAATTCATGTGAGCATACATTTTCTGTTGCTTTATCCGCGGTTAATATTCGTTTAAATAATATGAATTTCTTCTATGTGCTGCATCGACTTGGAATTGTCATTAAAATCAGATGGCAACTGTTCTAATGGTAAAAAATGTACGTTTATCTCCTTTTCAGGAGTGGTTTTATACATTTTGTGCTTAAAAGCCAAATGCATGTCTACGAATATTTGAATACGCTTTCCATTCAGTTTTCCACCATATTTATGTCACTTCTCAGCAAATATATACCCACGGATAGTAAATGATAATTGTTAACTTTAAAAATTCAAACACAACGTGTTCAATGAACGAGCAATTCAATTTACTAGTTAACGAGGCCGGAAGTTGAAAATGGACATATCATTCCTATTCGGATATCTAGTTTTTATTTTCTACTAGCTCTACACCGCTCTCACTCCAACTTCTATCACGCTTAATCTGTACATATACTAAAGATAAAGTTTTACTTAATGTTTTTTAAATGAACTGATCATGGCCAAACCTTAGCCATTGGATTTAGTGTTCATTTGTTGTGTGAAGGGCCATGTTGGTGAAAGCGTAAGTAGTTTTAGTCGTAACAGTGCGTTGTGGCAGTTGTTTCAACATGTTGACCAAAAACTAACTATCCTTCTGAATTTTAATGACAGTTTCATGAAGTCGGCAGCAATCTCTATTAATTTAAATGGAAAACGTATCCAAATACATAACATCATCAATTGAAAGTGATATAAAGATTGTCAAATTGTTTTTCCAGATCAGTCTAAGTTGACCAGCGTAGCGAAAACGATCATCAAAATATGCAAGCAAGAAATGTCCGAAATTGAAAACTGCCCCTGTTGTTATCTGAACGCTAACACGAAAAAAAAGACTTGGTTTGTGGAAGTTTGCCCCAAGCCACATTTACTTGTTTGGGCCAAATTAAGAGGTAACTTCAATCGGTTCAAAGAAGTCGAAGTAATATATAAATTTATGAAAAATAATCTCCAATCTTAGGATTCCCATATTGGCCTGGAAAAGCTATGAGTTGCAAGGATGGAATGGTAGATGTTAGGTTTTTTGGTGCACATGATCGAGCGTGGGTTCCAGAAAAAGAATGTTTCCTGTATACGCCAAAGGATCCCAATTTGTTTCGTGTTAAAAGAGCTGATATTGAACAATGTGTGGAGGTAAAAGTAACGCGAGAAATTTTTCGATTTTTGGCAATGGATTTTTAGGAGTTGGAGTTGCATGTTGAAAATCTCAAAGCCGTTTACGATGATTTCAATTATCCACTGTTCAAAACCCCCATCGATTCGGACAATGAACTGAAGCAACTGCAAATGTTCTTGCCCAGATATAAAGCCTACTTTTACACAACCAAGGAGCAAAACCAAGGTATGGATGCCGCTGAAGTCAAGAAGGAAATTGTTGACAGTGATTCTCTGGGTGAAAAATTCCAAGAAAGTCTGAATGTGAATATGAAGGGCATGCAAAGAAAAGACACAAAAAAATCCTTAGATGATGAGGCCATGGAGGGATATGGTAATAATTTTCATCCATTTTTTTTTGTTTGAACTTTAGAACTTTCCGCGGTAACAAAATTTTTGATAGGTACTGACGATGAATCAGTGACAGCCATTGACACCGAAATGCGAAAAACCTTACTAAAAATGGCACAAAACCCTGACGAACATCAAATAGACCAAGATGACACTCAAGTTGCAGACACCGGCGGCATTGAACAAGATGATTTCGATAAGGAAGCATTTAAGAATATTTCGCGTAAGTGGCAGTTTTTCTAAGGTCATATATTTGAAATGTTATGAAATGTAGAGTAAAAGCAACGCTTCAGTAAAATTCAATTAAATTTTTTATGAATAAAATCGTTACCCCAAGCAGGTTGTTCCACAAACGTGTTTTATGCAGTCATTTTTTTTGTTTGTTTCTTCGTTTAGTTCACATGAGAGTTTTATTGAAGAAATCTGATTCTGAACCGTGTAGTAAACGGCCATCGGTCGACGAACGAAGACCTTGTCGCAGAAATAGCGAATCAAAGTCAAACATCAACCGAAGTGCCGACAAGATAAGTAAAGTGAACATTTCTGACGATATGGAAGTGAGACTAGGAAAAGAAAAGGCCGAACGCGTTTCCGAGAATATTTCATCCAGCAATAGCGAGTGTTCCAGCGACGTTAGCGTGGATAGCAAGAAGCGGCCCGTCCAAGTAGATGTGGATAATGTGGAATTTACTATTTCCCCGGCAAGGAAGTTGAAGATGGTTGATGCTCTTATGAAGCGATTTTCTGATGGTGATTCGGGGGCGGAAACTGCCAGTTCCAACACCAAGTTAATTCCTCGGAATCTTAAAAAAGCAAAGCGAAGCCTTGTACCCCATGAAGAATCGGCTACGGAAGGAAATTCTGTCAGTTCCATCGTTATGAATGAAGACGAAGAGAAAACGGAAATTACATGTGATGAAGCTGATAAAATTACAAAATCTTTCAATTCTCCAACAAGCAAGTATGACGGTCTACCTGTCACGCGGACAACGCAAAAAAACGAGGATGTAAGTAAAAGAACTGTAAACAGCTGTGCTAGCAAGAAGCGGAGCAGGTCCCGGACAAAAACGTCTGGGAGTAAACTGCTTCCAAGGGTGTCCAAAAGTGAACAGAAGATTGAAAATAATCCAAATGAGTCAGTTCAGCATGAATCCGAAGTAGCAGGTAAGATTTTATATTTCTGTGTCCGTACTGTACAAAAAATATGAACCAAGACCGTGAATCGCATTTTACCAAATGTTAATCCTAACTTTTAGCTTATAGTTATAAGTATCTAGTTTCAATATATTTTTAATAAAAATGTCCTGTGTTTTTCGGCGTCAAAAATGTATTTGTCACAATTATGTAAATAATTATTATGTTTCAGATGTATCAATTGAGCAACAATCGAATAAGCCAAGTGACGAAATGCAGATTTCAAATAATTCAGAAGCTGTGCAACAGTCTTCAGAAGTCAACACGCCAATGTTACAGAAAACGGATGCAAAACTTGTCTCAAAAGAGAGTAAATACTCTAGTAGTTCGGAAGATGATGACTGCACTATTCTTGCGAGGCTGGTGAAAAGCAATTCCTCAGTGGCAGAAGGAAAACGTTACAAGAAAAAGGCAGCAGGGAAAAAGACTCCGGATTCTGATCCCGACACAGATGAACATATGGCTAACGTGGAATTGAGTATAGACAAGGTTATTATTATTATTAAGTATAGACAGCAAATTATCTATTTCAAAAACAATGATTCTTAACTAATTAAGGCTTTGTATTTGGATTCTTAGGCTAACATCCTCAATATAATTCATGGTTCGCTAGTGAATGCAGATACAGCTATTGATCAGGCCAAAAGCGATAATGAAGAATGTTCTTCGAAAAATACCGACCAGAGGCAACGCAAAAAACGAAAAGCGAGTTACGATTCTAGTGATGGAATAATTGAAAGTCGAAACAAAGTCCTTAAAATTGTGCCGGCGGAAAATGTCATAAATCAGCCCAACGACAATCACCAAATAGATGACAAAGACGAATGTGATCAGTCGAATCTGAAATCGTCTAAGAAACCCGATTTTTGTCGCAGTTCGCCGACTTTTTCAAAGCACAATTCGACACACGGGACTTCTGCTGATGAAGCCAAAACCCACACTGAACCTGAAGGAGGTTCACGTGGTTTTCAAGACCTGGAGGCTAAAAGGAAGTATTTATCAGCTCTTAACATACTTGAAAAAGGCGAAGCGGACGCACAAAAACCGAAAACTCACGAAATTCGTACTCGCTCCAAAACCGAAGAGAAAAGGGAAAGGTTGCGAGTAAGTAAAGAACCTCAAGTACGTTTTTATGGTAAACTTAAACCAAGACTCTGATTTGAAGCTGTCTGCCTTTCTAGATTTCTGATAATATGTCAAAAACAATCGAAGATGTGGCGGCAAATTATAGTGCCTTTCATCAAACTGAATCGGACTCTGCTATTACCAGCAAGAAACAGGGTGTTGCTGACGCGTCGAAAGCTGATGGATGCGAAATTTTTGTCAAATCTTTTGCAAAAATAGGTGAAATATCAAAATCCAACTGTATGTATACGAATTGTCATTAATATTTTGTTGTTTCACTTGTTTCAGTGCCAGAAGCATCGGAAGTTAGAAGTGGCCTCATACCGACTCTTCCTAGCAAGCAAAGGGCACGAAAATCTTTCCCACATCCAAACTATATGAAGCCAATAGACAAATCCATACAAACCAATACTGCTTCAGATCAACAAGCTGCTTTAATTCCCGTAACTGAAATTATACCTCGGATATTGACCAAAAATATTGGTAATTAATTGACTTTAGAGACTTTCATCTTGCTTTCAGTGTATGCTGTTCTATGTATATATTATTCTACATTGCTTATCGTTACTAGCCAATATTTAAACTTCAGAATCGGCATCCCCCACTCCCGTTCAAACTTCGACAGCAATGGCTGTACAGCAGACATCAAAAACGGCAGCAGTTGCACCAATACAGCAGCTAGATAGCATCCGCCCTACGAATGGTTATCTGATTCTGCAACCGCAGCAGCAGGATAACTTAGTTTTTATTCCTCCCAATCAAACGTTAAGCTATTCTTCACCGATTACGAACCAAGTTATGTCAGTCGTGAGTGAACAACTTTTGTTTTGCGACTCATTTTTCCACAACACTTTTTTAGACTCCGTGTTTAGTGTCTTCCTCGGCTAACACTGCAGCCATTCGACATTTGACTACTCCAGCGCAGATATGGCATCCTGGTCAGAATTCCAATTTAGACCTAATGGGCTTGAATGTGAGTCGATCGCAAAACTACATCCCTCAAGGCGAAACATCATCAAAATCGGTCACCTCTCAAATTGCTTCTAAAACCAGCGGCGAATGCCCTGCTATCAGAGTTGTTAATGGTATGCCTGAGCTCAGCTTCAATGGACCTAGTATCGAAGCAACAGCTGGTGGTATGAGCTGGCTTTATTTGTGTATACCGAGAATGACCAATTGATTTGATTTTAGCTACTTCTGCCAGTTCTCGTCAGTCCGAAAACGAGGAGCGAAACCAAGAAGTGGTTTGTGGTGTTTCTGAAAGGGCACAAGCCGGAACTGAATCGTCAGAAAATGGAGAAAACGTAGAAGATTACGAGTTCGCGGCGCTAAACAACGCAGTACACGAAAATGTCGGCAGGATCGTGAATGACGTTAGTATAGGTGGTGAAAGCGGTATTTTTAAGTAATAAAAATTGTTATTCAGTTAATAAGAAGGCCGCCACCGAAATTAAAACCACGTCCACCGGGAGCGTTGAGTCAACAGTTTAGTGAAGGCTTACCTAGTTCTGCAGGCCCTGTTACAGCAAGGGTTAATTCAGTAGCTTATAGAGTAAGTTTTAAATAATCAACATATCTACATAATTCCTTAAATGTAATCCAAAATATTAATATTTCAACATAATTTTACGTAGTGGTTTCAATCAAAAAGAAATGTACTGTTGAGCTTATTCAATTTAAACTTCGTGTAGAGCTATGGAAATTGAAATCCGTTTTTGACAATACAATTTTTACTTTCTTTTAGTTGGGAGATTATTTTCGAGGAATGTTAATCGAAACGTTAAAGGACCTAGGGAAATCTAATAACACAGAGGCGGCCATTATCGGTTTAAAACAAGAAATCGAAACATTGAAGCACAAACACAATGTAGAGATTTCTGAAATAGAGAAAAATATGACTACAGTACTAAAGGACATCCAACGAACTGTGATAGAAGAACGAGAGAGGGTCATTGAAGAAACCAGGGCGGCTTCCGAGGCGGAGGCAATTAAACGCGTGGAAGAAACAAAATTAAAACAATGGTAAATAAACCAATTCAATTCAAATGTTCGATTCAGCATTCGGCAATTGTGTAACGTTTATGTTACTAAAACTTTCGTCGTTAAAAAAAACAATTTTTTTCGGATCTTAGGAGCGGAATCGATCAGAACCGGCACAATTCAATATGTATTTTTCAGGTGTGCAAATTGTTTAAAAGAAGCTCAGTTTTATTGCTGTTGGAATACAAGTTACTGCGATTATCCTTGTCAGCAGAAACACTGGCCTACACATATGAGCAAGTGTAGCCAACATGCCAGTCAGTCTTCGCAAACAAATTCGTCTACGATCGTTAGACCGAACAGCCAACAACTAATACTTAGACCTGCAAATCCGCCATCAAAACGTGGCGTTGGGGTGAGTTATTACATTGTTCATTGTGGAATGAAGAAGCCTTAAGTATTTTTTTATTTAGTTACACTTGAATTTAAATATGTTTAAAAACTTTTTCATGTAGTATCATGTAAATCATAAGTAAGTCATAAGTACCACGTGCATTTCTTTTGAAACTTGATCGTCGTGTATCGACGCAAAACATACACAGCTCTTAATTATAATTGATTTGCATGTAGAACGTGCGGCCCTATTAATACTACACTGCACATGATATGTCCTGAAGTGCCGTGATAAAGCCGAACAGTTATTCGGATTATTCGAAAATATTGCGAAAGTCCGCGTGAGTGGTTAGAAAATTACTTTTTTCACTACAATAAGCATGATGGTTTCAATTATTCAAACTTTCTATATCAATTTGTTTTACCATGTCAGTATACTGATATTTTGAATCAGTGTATCGAATGTTCAATAAATCTAATTTATTTTGTGAAGCAAGCCTTTTAATTATTTTTCTTTTGTTTTGCAGAAGGTATTCACAAAACCTATACACAAAGTATATATGAATCGTAATATGACAGCGCCGAAAACAGTAAGAATGCAGGTATGCGTTGTTTTTCTGTTGAGCATGTTCGAATTTAATTTATAGATTTTTAACCAATTAGATCCATTATTTTGTATTACATAGCACACCTGGGTAGGATGTAGACACGGTATTTCCGTGCAACATAGATCTACGTAGAATATTTAGTGTGCACCACTTACGGCATATTGCACATTGGCCAATATTAAAAATAAATGATTTACTGAAAATTTAAGAATAAAATCAATTGAAATATCATCTGTTTCGCAGAACACTGCTACCAATCTACTGACGATGATGGAAACAACTCCGGGCAATTTCCAACTGGTTACTACCAATGCGATAATACGGACAGGCCAACCTGCCATCACACCCATTAAACCAGCGAATGTTATTTCTGTATCGTCCATTAATAGCGTTAATCAACAACAGAAAATTTGCACATCCAAACCGCCTGTTAGGATTGCGCCTGTTACCGGCACATTAGATGAGGAATCTGATTAAATATCAAATGTTTTATGTCACTTGTGACAGTAGTTCATTCGTTTAAGGCGGCACACATACAGATCTGATGTTAGGCGTTAAATTTAAATTGAAGACGCATGAAAAGCAAGCCTTCTGAATGTCCACAAGTTAAAACAATATTTTTAAAAGCAGGAGGCTTGTTTTTATTTATTTCCCATGCAAAACTTAACTATGTCGAACTGGCTTCGGAACGTTGGAATGAAAAATGTGAAGGGTATTGTATGGCAGGTAATAACATCATTGGCATGACCAAGCTAAATGTTGCATTTTCTTCCACTTTGTACATACATATAGTCAAGTGAACTGAAAGCAGACAAAACCACAAATTACTAAACTCTTGGAAAAAGGACAAAACCTAGAGACTTGACAGCTCTAGCTGTTGCCGGTTCAAAGCTCAAAGTGACTGATCATGAAGAAATTTCTTCGATTTTATACATGGTTTAAATCGATTGATTTATGACGGTTGACAACTCGGATATATTGATATTAGCTTTTTATATAAAATATGTATTTGAAATAGTATGGTTTAATTAAATTGATCCGTAAGGGGACGTTTACATTTTATAAGTGAAAAATTGAATTTTTTGAAACACATTGAACATCTCCCGTATATACGGAGTACTTGAGATCGGAAATATGTGGATGCTTGTGAAGAGGAATGTGTTGAAGATTGTCCAAATGTTTCGTCAGTCGCAGAAGCGACGAACGTCAAGATCTGCTGCATTCATTTTTACATCATGTAGAGCTTTATATCCTTGTATTTGTAAATAAAACAGTCCTTTTACTAGAATAAGCAAAATGTGCCTCTTATTTTTAGTTGCTAGTAATCTGGTTAGTTTTTTTTATATTGATTTGTTTGAACTTGAAAAGCCACCGAATTCTTGAAGAGAGGACACATACTCCATAGAACAAGGCTTATACATACTACAAGCGTATACGGCACTTCTATCGATTGCGGCGATTTGAACCAATCAAATAAGCCTACCGGTTTGTTATCGAACGTATCGATGACAAGTTCTACAAATTAGTTAAGACGATTTAAGGTTAGGTGATTTTGTTTGATGTTAATTATTTTATAAATTGTCGAGATAAACAAACGCGAGTCCACCAATCATTTTTTTTCATTCCCTCGTGACTTTCGAACCCTATATAAGCTCTAGATAAAAATGACAAGCAAATAGTATTTGAATTTGTTGGAAGAAAAATAATGGCACAAAGAAAGGCAGTGATAATTATGAGTATTTTTAAATTGATAAGAAATTATTAATAATTTACAAATGATTTATTCTGATCAGCTTAAAAAGGTATCAGATTTTTTATTCATAGTATTTAAATGAACAACTTAAACCATTAAATAAATCTTTTAAAAAGCTTGGCTTATTGTATATTTGACAGTATACTGAATATCCTTACATACATCGATACATTTATATGGATAGTTTTCAAATTAGTAAAACTTGTAACTTGTAAACTTGTAAAATTTTCCAACTATTTTGTCTGTGAGGAATATGGAATGGTATTCGCGAGTTCAAAAGTATTAAATCATAGATAAAGACTAATCTAAAATGTCCCCTGGCTAAAATTGTAAGTACACGTAAACTAGTGTTTTGACACTTGCTTTGTTGTCATTGCTGTTTGGGATTTGTTTTGTTTCATTCTAATCAACTTTTGCAAGATTTTAAAGAAATAGAAGCAACGAGTAGTTTGACGTTGCGCAGCGCCATCATCGGTAGTTGAACTCACACAGAGTACCTCTGTGATCTGTGCTCGCAGCATAGCAGCATCTGTGCTCGCAGCAGTAAAATAATTTTAATTATTTTACTTTCTCTATGGCTCGCAGATAAGGCAAGTTGAACAGTTTGAACTCGCGAATTACTGAATTAAATCTTTTTTTTTAAATAACCTTTTATTATATTCATTTAAGGTATCAGAATCAAAAAAGAATCATCAGATCAGAAACTTGTCTTTATCGTTGGTCAGTATAGTTTTTATCGTGGGACTGCAGATTGACAGTGGGGACTAAGGTTATGCACAGAACATCGCCCCTGGCGATATTTTGTGTGTTTATGTTTTCTGGAGTTGTTCAGAAAAATGTCATCTGTTTCGGTATTTTGCTGTTTAAAGGGCTGCTTGGATGGATTTAATTTCAATGAGACGACAAAACATACATCAATATTGAGCCCCATTCAGCTAGACACATCGTTTATGGGTTAGTAATTCTGCATCTCTATTTTAAGGTTCAAACCCTAAGATATTTCTTAGGATATGAAGTGGTTATTGTAAAAAGAGGCCAACGTGTTTGCGGGGCGGGTGCGGTTTTAAGCAATGCCCCATTGGCCCAGTCTAAATCCTATTTCGAAGTGAAAGTGCAGCAAGCAGGATCTTGGTCTGTAGGATTAGCCACAAGACAAACTGACCTAAGCTTAACTCTTGGTAAGTGTACAAGAAGAAAACAGGGTACATTTGTAGTACCGTATTTTAAATGTTCACGATATTGCATAATCTTCGAATGACGCATTTTCTGTCTTATCCAATAATAATTTTATCGGAAAGTAAGAACTAAATGTTTTTTTAGCAATTCACCTTAGCGTGATGCAATTAACACTTGAATCTTTCAAATATTTAATTTTTTTTCAGGGGGCATGGATGAGTTTTCATGGGCTTTGTGTAGTGATCACATATTTAGGCACAACAAACAGGAAGAACACAAACTAAACTTATCCAGCAAAGAGGGTGTTCAGAGTATTCAAGAGGGCGATGTCATAGGTGTAGCTTTCGACCACATTCAGCTTAAGTTTTTTGTGAATGGAACTGAGCTCGACTATTCAATGACTAACATCAAAGGAACGATATATCCAGCTTTATATGGTAAGTAAATACCTTATGAACATCTACAAAAGTAGAATGACTGCTGATTACTGGTTTATTTGCAGTAGATGATGGGGCGATATTAGATATAATTTTAGAAAACTTCTGCCACACTCCACCACAGGGATTTGAAAAAATCATGCTAGAGCAATCTCTGCTGTGAAACACTTTAGTGGGGCGCAATGAGTTTCAACTACGCACGCATATATATAAACAATAACTTGAATTGGCTTCTCTTAACTTTCAAGTTGTTAGTAGATTAATCTGTGATACTCCAGTGAATAGCAGCTTTACACTGGAAATATTTTGCATGAAAATCATATTATTGATTGGTATCGGAGGCGTGCATATTATTTTTTTAAAACAAATTTATATTCTAAGCGCACATACCTACATATATGAAAGCGAGCAAGAACACATTTTAATATTAAAACTAATGTATAGGTATAAAACTCACCGTAATTTACTATTGGATCTCCGACGGCAACTCATCAAAATATTCCCAAAATCCTGTGGAAACCGTGGTAACATATTAGTGACCAATTGAAGAAACCTGAATCTGATCTGTCTTCATCACATAATACTTTGGTATTTCAAGCTGAGTGTAGCACGAACAGTTACACTGATTTAAGCATATGCATGATCAAATAACTGACATTTCAACTAGATACTCTTATATAAAACACAGTTTCAGCCCGAATATGGATATACGCGCCCTATACAAGCTTGAATTATTTTAATCCATAAAATTGGTATAATTTATAACCGTAACTATTAACTTGATTTGGTTAAAAGTTTATAATAAAATGATATGTGCTGTTGAATTGTAATTTAAGCTCAAGGGATATTTTATTTTATCTAATGTTTGTGGAGTAAAACCCTCTGCATAATTAATTCCTAACAAGGTATTAATATATCTCTCGGAACATGTAATTTGTCAATTTTCAAAAAAAAATTACGTCTAAATATGACAATTTGATTTGAGATGAACCCGATATATCTCTCGAGTGGGAAAAGTTCCTAAAAAAAACGAATTATTTACTAAAAATTATATTTTCTTTTCGATGAATTAGGTGATAATGAAACGGGGAAAGTACACCTGCGGTAGAAATAAATGCGTGCTTAGGCATCTAATGGAAGAATAAATTAAGAAAGTAGGATTGTCAAGCACATAAATATTAAAAATAGTTGTGATTTATGTATTTAATCTCCACTACGTGATATCGAGTTTTAATTACTTATTTACAAAAATCATTGTTACAGCAAATTAATGGCAGAATTATGAAATTTTACTAAACATTGTAGTATAATCTAAATTAAAATAATAATCTAATTTATAATGTAAAAGTCTTTGGTATAGGCTTGAAGCAATCGAAATTTGCGACGTGTAAAGTTAATGTCATACAACCCACAATTTAAATAAGTAGTAACATTAATATTCAGAGCATTATTTATCTCAGTCTCACCAAGCAAAATCTTCATTGGTTGCATTTAACACCAGCACCAAAATCCGTATTCATACAGTAAAGTAGGGCAAGTTGCTAATCAAAACGTTATAGTAATAAATTTACACAACTTTTGGATGTACCAATTCAATACTATTTCATAATTGAAATGACTATTTGTGCTCAGAATCCATCAATTATGAATGGAATTGATTTCTCTTTGTATACAAAATAATTATTGACTGCATACTTGGAAAGTACATCGACAAACTTTCTTTTTAAAACCGTTTAATTTTATGCATTGCGTTGAGTGAATTTTTCCGTCGGTTTTCTCTACCGATGTGTAAAAAAAGATTAAATCGAAAACAAAAAGACAAGTGAGAACGAAGTATTAAATAATAAAAAAATGACTTACTTTGGGTGCATACACTAATTTCGAAGCTAACAATTGAAATATCATATTGTATATGTACCATGTTTAAAATATATATCGTCAAAAATTAAATGCACGTTTTTAAATACTTAACTGCAGCTGTTGCAGGTATTCAGTTGTACTGGAAAACCAGCAAGATGTTATTGTCTCATATAATTATATAACTTTTTTATCATCTCAACAATTATATAAGTAGGTATAATATATGCACGGCTCAAAAATATAAAGGACGATCAAATAACGTTTGCTATTCTATAACAAATGTTTAATGTTGAAAGCGTGGAATTTGTCTCCGATTAAAAAAGTACTGATAAATGATCTGTTTAAAACAAATTGGTGAGTTCAAAGTTTGAAAAAACTTATATTGTATGGTCAGTCCATTCTAACAGGCAAAGTAAAAAATGGTCGAATTTAGCAGCTTAAAAATCTTGCACATATATTTGTGTAGAGATCTATCGAAACCAAACTTTTCCGAAAACAGAACACTATCCAAATCCCGAAATTTTAAGGTCACCACATTTTCCATGGAGCCCACATGAGGGCGTATGAAATGTCAAGCAAATATTTTCGCGGAACACAGTTTGGGAACTTCTGCTCTAAACTTTAACAAAAAATTGACTTAATGGAAACAACTTGCATTAGGAGTTCAAAATAAGTCCAAACTTGTCTTTGGGGCAACAATTTGGCGATTTTTCTGAACACACCTAATAAAGCTATTAATCTTTACTCAACTAAACATTAAATCATATTTAACTAGGTACTTAAAAACTGACGTATGGCACTTGGAAGATTAAGAGTAGCGCTGGAAGTAGCTTGCAACGTCAACGGACAAAAGACTGCCATATGCTTCTACCGGATAATACCATATAACTGGAATTATAACTATTGGAAAAAATACAAGCATGCATTTCGAAAGAATCAAACGAAACTTCGCCGACTAATGGAAGTCTAGTCTAGTAGTATCGTATGTTATTTCCGATCCACGTCCAAATAATCGTCCAGTTTATCCCAATCGAACGCTGAGGGATTCGATTTTCCGATCAAAACACCCAAATGATTAAATCGATCTTCAAAATCTACATCTTTCGATTTCAGTTTCGTAAATCTCTCCATCAGCAATTTCTTGGCATAACTGTACAATTCGATGTCCAAACTATTCAGTTCAACAATTTTTGTAGACTGTTCTGGCGATAGCGTCATGATGGTGGAACTGGACACTGTGGAGTTGTTTTGCTCAAACGGAATGGCAAAACGAAGGTTGAAGGTTTCCTCAAAAACATATTGTGAAATTTTTTGAAATTCTGTTAAACCGAAAAAAGCCATGGACTGAATGTTTTTCTTTGCACTGGCCAACATTATGCGGTCTCGCTCTGCTTTCGGCATGTATTGCTTGTCATAGCAGCCTAAATAAGTTTAGTTCTTATAGAGAAAAGCGGAGCTTTTTCTGTCCAGTTACTTACCAACTAAAGCTAAGTCAGCTAACATTCTAGTTTGTCTATTTGCTGCCAAATTACTATCACAATTTATAAATTCATCAAGTTCAACCCCTTCCCAATTCTCGCTCTTGTAGCAAGGGGGAATTTCTGCAGCACTGGCTGACCGGCCTTTGCAGAAATGACGAGAGCCCTTCCAAGTGGCTCCCCTTCGGACATGTCGAAATTCCGACAAATATCTGCAAGAATGTGGTTGTTTTTTACGTATAATCAGTGCAATCAATATAGATAGAATGGAATGCGCAATAAATAATAAAACCACACTTACTTACCTGGCAACCGGCTCTCTCAGTAACGTTATATAGAAATAACGTCGTTTGACTACGTCTTCAAGTTCGTCCAGTTTTTCGTCCACGCACCCAGTCAGTTCTGTCCAATCGGCATGTAAGCCACATTTCCAGCCTGTGGTATACCGGCTGAACAACCAGCTCTGATTGGAATGCGGCCGGAAGCAGTAGCAACGCTTCCTTGTTAATGGACATTTACAAGGCCGCTTCAAATCCAGATCATGAACCAAATGTTTACCAAACGAAGTACCACCTTTGAAACAAACAAGCTTGATTCGAAACTTGCAAGGGGTAGTTTGAGAACATGTAACGTATCAAGAAGAGACACACATCATTCTAGTCTAGAGATGAAAGAAATACGATAAACTATAAAACGAAAATTTCATATTTAAATTCAAGTTCAATTATGAAAGTAGTGCGATAAAATGTAGTATTTGAAGAGCATGTGCAATAATTATATTGCTATTAAGTAACGCTTAATTTCGTACATTTGGTGGGAATACATGTGATTTCATAATTCCATAGCTTAACAAGTTATTTTCAGTTTTTATTTATATGAGCTGTTCGTGTCACACATTATCGCTATTCAGAGGCGGAATGTCATTATTTTAATATGAAAACAATACGACACCGTATTTAAGTATTCATTCCTTTCATGTCGCAAGAATTTCTAAACAGGCTGATTTAAATATTGTGGCATTCGCCTGCTACATGTATACGATACGCGATCATATTTTGTTAAGTGTCTATTTTCAAATAACCTCCAGTCACAGTACAAGCCAAGCTAACGCCTAAAGGCCAATTACAGAAAAAACGGTTGAAAATACTATACCTACATATAGACAGTGTGCAGACTAACTTGTAAAGAAAAATCGATATCTTCATAATTTCGTTGTTGTTTATATGGTAAAAATATTTATCAATTATACCTGTTTTTTGCATATGAAGAAATACCATGACATCGTGCGAATCCAAGTTAAAGGCAAAATCATCATTCAACATGTCTTCGTAACTCAATCCGATTTTGTTACTTTCAATCGTTAATGGTTTTCCTAAGTTATCTTCCATGGGTGGCAGGGAATCTCGCGATGACAGGGCACATACCTGAATCAACAAATTACGCGTAAAAATAATACCAAATGGAGCTTAATCAAGAACCAGAACAGGCGCTCAAGCGTCTTCAAAGTCTGTCGAATGCTTTGAAAACGCGTATTGCGATTCCTTCGATTGCCAATTAAATTTTTATTCTGACCTTAAATACAAATAACAATGTTTGACTTGAGCTGTGTTCATCGAGTTAATGAATTAATAGTTCATTCAACTATTTATATAAAATTTACAGTGAAAAACGGACGGAGGTTCGAACGCACTTAGTATGCATATCTCACCTCTTTCACTAACCAGAAATATAATTTGAACGTATACGTCGAATATGAAAGTCTTTGTTCTAAAGTGCTTTTCCGAATACCAACTGATAAGTACAAATATTTTACCAATTTATAAGTAATTTAAATAGTTGGGGTTTTATGACGAACCGAAATTAATCATGTGTTTCATAAGTGAAATTAACCTCTAGTTTAGTCTTATTAACTTACTATGTAATAATGTATCTGTTAACAAATAATTTTTTTCAAGATTCATAATGGAGATAATTTGAAACAAACGGTAAAGCGATGTTCACAGAATAGAACAATTTGTTTACCCGTAATTATAGATTAAAGTTAAATGTTACCATTTTTAAGTAGAATTCGTATTTCAGAACTATCACTCTTTGCAGCAAGTCACTGTTCCAATATAGGTAGTACCTTAATATACGATTTACCTTGGCAGGTGCACATTATCTGAGGAACCAACCGACTTCAACTTAATGTGATCATCCAGTATATAATGCGTGTGGGAATAGACACCAGTGAACTTCTGGGTAAAATTTAGATAGAACAACACAGCTGAAGAATGGACTTTTAGGAAAACAATAAATATGGCATCGTAAATATTTGAAAAAAAAACCATAGCGACAACGTGCTGATCCGGAAATTAACAGCTTTAAGTCGTTAATACATACAGTTTAAATTAAACAATTACAAAACAGTTCGATAACAATTGCAAAAAGGTCGTGTTACTAAATAATCAAGAAATTTAAGTTCTTGGTTCTCTTATGAGAGCACATTTATTCCACACAAATAAAACACTAAAATAAATCAGAAATTACTCACTTTTTCGGGGCAAAAATAGCCAAATCCAATGATTCCAAAAAGGCACAAGAAAAGACATAAGATGCAAATTTGCTTCAGTCTCGGGGACTTAGGATCCATTTGTTTAATTTCGTAAACACCATTAGGCAATAGGACTGCTATATCACTGTCGAGTACCTGAACGGATACGCTTTTCAAGTTCCGCATTATTCACTCCATTGGACTTGATTCAAATTGAGATTGTTACTTTTGTTCAAACCGCAACCGTGCCATTATTTATATATCCATTTAGTATTATTATAGATAAAGACAGTAGTAGATTATTTATTACCAGAGACAAGTACTTGTCTCTGTTATTACATTCTGGACTGGCTTGTCATTTGTCATCGCTTTAGTGTCAATCACAGAACAAGATTGCAAACAGAGACCTCTCCAGGCTAACCCAAGTAAATCCGTATTTCATTTGCTTCTCGGCCGGTACAACTACTAATTAATAGTGGCAATCTGTTTTGCTTTTAGTTTTCTGTAAAAGCACAAGCCGGATTGGCACAGAACACCTGATTCAGGTGACCTGAACGGACTAGTTCGGGACGGTGCCTATCTCTATCTCACATACTTGTCTTTATCTATGGTGCGGTTTTAAAAACAATTAATAAGAATACCTAGATCTTCTCGTCCTTGTCTATGCCTAGGCCTATTACAAGTTACGTAATTCGATACTCGTCTATCTATGAATTCAATTAAGTCCATCATAAATCACCAAGTGACAGACACAAGACATTGAGATTTACATGAACAATAGTAGGTATGTCTTTATCTATGGTAGGTATTCGAAGGTTTACTTACCTTCAATGTTGTAGCCAGTCCTGCTTCAGCATAATTTCTCGCGTAAGAAGTCATACACTTGTCAGAAACTTATAATCTGAGTTCTGATTCCAGGGTGTTTACCAAACGCAAAAAATGGGTGAAAAAGTGAATGTGGACAAAGAGGAATTGAGAAAAAAGTTAACACCTGTGCAGTATCACGTTACGCAAGAAAAGGGAACTGAAAGACCATTTTCAGGTAAGGCTTTACCCTTACTTTTAACAAGCTTTATAAACACATTAGCATCACACAGTTCAGAAGAATTCAAGCAAATTGAGTTGCTTTACATTTTACTGTAGGTACTTTGCTACGGACATACTTGTGTCGCGGAAATAAGTTAACACTCTTGTTTTGCAGGGTGTTATAACAAAGTATATGATGAAGGCCTTTACGTTTGCCTAGTCTGTGAACAACCTTTATTTAGTTCAGACACAAAATATGATTCCAGTTGTGGATGGCCTGCATTTAATGATGTTTTAGATCAGGGTAAAGTGAAACTTACCCCGGATACTAGTGGAGGTATTTATAATAATCGTTACATTCAATCCTAGTAATAATTAGTAACTAATAAAAATATTTTAAAGCGAGTTATTAAAATTACTAGGTATTCTATAGAAAATATTTATCGCTTAACCCGTTTGAATTAAAAAATATTTATGTAACCTTTCCATTTTGCACGGCATTTTTCATAAAACATGATACCTATTTTAGTCTGTTAATATGACTGTGACGATTCGGTGTAATTAGGTACCTAATTCTTATCAATAATCAATTCTAATTGAGCACATGTCTACATGTTATATATTTGAACGTGATTAGGAGCTAAATAATCATGATTCTCGTTATTTAACCCGCTCGAAATCCAAGGCGATTTGCACAAATGAAAAGGTTGCAACTTATCATTTCTTTTAAATTTAACTTAAATTACAAAGTCGATTTTACACCTTAGACCAGGGTTTCCCAAACTGTGTTCCGCTGCGGAACCTGAACTAGTGTTTTGTGATAATTTGGAAAGGTTTATACACTGCAACACATTTAAAGATCTTTTGCTTCACATTGGAAACAGAGTGATATTATATTATATATGTTTTATACATTTTTCAAACCGTAGATTATATATTATACGATTTATTTTTATACGAATAATAATGAAAAATACTATTGAAACCAACTGACCTAAAAATTAACTTTAGTATTCCGTTAAAATTTTTGGGGTTGCGCAGTGTTCCGTTATAGAAAAAGTTTGGAGAATCCTGTCTTAGACATTTAAAACAGTCATGAAAAGTGTCTGATTTGAAAAAGCGAAATCAGAATCATAACGATTCAAAGTAGGTACCTACACAGCATGAGACTGGTGGACGAGAAAGTTAAATCAATCAACACTTCATTTGATTGATTAATAATATGCTTTCGTTGCAGCAAGTCGATATAGTTTTATTGCGCAACACTGTTCTTCATACTAGTGCAGTTTTGCGTGACCTTTAAAAACCAAAGATTTTGTTTTAAAACGCCTAACCGGTGTTATTGTGTGGCTTCAACCTGCTAACCCCTAAAACAGCTACCATTCTGCATATATCAGGAAAAAGTTCACCTAGTATTGCTAATGTTATTGTTTTCTTTTTATCGCTCCTGCTCTGGTCCTATCTGCGCACACAATACACACACAAATCACACTGTTTTTTATTTACGTTGTTCATAATTTATCAATCATCCGCTTTTTATGGTTTTTTGCTCACGACGTACCGCACACTCCACTTGTCCCTCAAAAATCCCACATTCCTTCGCCACCCGGTTAGTTGGAGCAAACCTTTTACTCCTCATATCCCAACCAGGCCGCATCAGGACTGAAGTGACATGCTCACGATGTGGGTCTCATCTCGGACATGTTTTCAATGATGGGCCGCTACCCACCAAGAAGAGGTTTTGCATCAATTCGGCGTCTCTTAACTTTCTTCCACATAAATCTAAGGATGGTGATAGTTAAAAGTGATGATGTCTCATTTTCTCTATATTTATTTCAAAAGCGCCAGTTCAGTTGATCAGATGTTTCTACTAAAACTTGTATCACATATAATTTCACCAAGCTGTTAAAGCTCCGTAAAATATTGTCAATAATATATATGTATGTATTTATTTTAATATGTACACTAGGCTTTTAGAGAGTAACCTCGTTGTTGTAGGCATTCGAAATAAATTGTTGAACCATTACCACGAACTGTTGATTTTTATAGACAATATATAAAACAAAAAATATATATTATTAAAAAAGAATTTAATACCACACACTGTTCTTGTTGGCAACAATAGTAGTATGTCTACGCAATCACAATGTTTCATAAATACTAGTGCAAAAATACTATAACTAGTTTTTCTTCGGATAACGCTCACATTCATATCGATGGATGCTTCTGACATGCTTCATTATAGAGTATTTTGCTCGCGCCAGTAATAAAAGTATACTTTATTTTAAAATCATTTTCAAAATATGTAATAAAACGGAAACGTACATGATATGGCTAATTAAATCGTCAAAAATAAATGTACAAAACTTTTTACACCTAATAAAGCTCACAAATTATCTATATACAGATAATAAAATCATTTAATAACGAGATGATGTCACACCGCAAAAATTATACCAATTGATTCCGAGATTGGTTCGATTGCCCTTGTCCATTTTGCTTTAAAACATTCATTTGCATTTGCATAAGATTTTTTCTATTGGTTGCAAGTGTTCATATTTATCTCTTTTGTCAGTTGAAAATCTAGCATTTTGTCTTTCACATTTTAAGCATTATATGAATAGGAGGCAATTAAATTTTAGTCTCTTGTGTTTTTATGCAAGGACTTAAATTGAGTTCTCGTCGGGAGGTTGAACTAAAGACGAATAACTGGAAAAATGCCCCACCATCAGACCGACCAACAGTCGAATTGACTAGGAATTAATATGTTGTTCATAGATCAAGGGTCACACTCTTTTGCTCCAAACAGAAATAAAACCAATTCTAATCGGTAAATGCAAGTAGAAAAGTTTCCAGAAAATGATCGGCTTTACACAAACATTATTTCAGTATGAAATTCAACAAACTTTATTCTCTACGTCTGTAGTTCTCCGAAATTCAATTGGAAAGTGAAATCAGCATTCCAATTCATTTCTTGAAAATTGTTTTCGTCGTTATAGACAATATGCGCGAATATTATTGTAAAATTAGGCACAATCTCATCAATTATACATACGGTCTCTAATAAATGCTTACATCCTTTAAAAACCTATGTTACTAGAAAATGTAATGTAAAATTTATAAAAGAAGTTTTTAAAAGTAACCTCTAATTCAAGCAATAAAAAAATCTGCCATGTCTTACCTGATTAACAACTAGAAAATCCAGGATGATTTGAAATTGATGAATGTTTTGAACTTATCAAATTATTATTTAATTACACGAGCATATAGCGAGCTCATATAAAGATATTTTGCCCACTGCATCGCAGGCCGGAGAATGTGTGATACTGGAGAAACATAAATGTTAATCATGTATAAATGGTTAGAAACATATCCGCATTCCTAGCAACATAGGATATAGTCTGTCACATAACAACAGTAATAATATGCAGCCTATTTAGGACTGACACACTTAACTTAGCGTTAAGTTAGTTGTTGCTTAGCGGCGTCTTTGGCCGCTAGAATTAATGGTGTTAAACTTGCCAGTGGTCGTGCCAATTTCAAAAAGGGGTGCTGCAAATGTATTGACTATTGAAATATTTTGATTCTACAGTAATATATATATAAAAGCTGCTACCTTGAGAAGATCTCGCGCTGATGACCGCTTATCAACTTCCACAGCTAGACACTGATCTAAAAAGTCCTGAAAAGGCGCTGACAGTTTTTCTTTTTCTTTAATGTCAGGTTTTCCATTGGTAGCTATCAGATACAGGGCCCTAAGGGGGTTTTCGTTAAGATAGGGTGGTTCACCTTCGATCATTTCTATTGCCATGATTCCCAACGACCAAACGTCCACCTTAAGAAAAATGAGCCAATTGGTCACTCGGCCTGAAGTGCTTTTTTATATTTGTAATCACCTTAGGTCCGTACTGTTTCCTTGTCACCACTTCAGGTGCCATCCAATACGGAGTACCCACCATTGTGGTTCTTTTGGACTGTTCCGGACTAATTTGTGCGCAAAATCCGAAATCCGCTGTCAAAATATAAATTAAGTTATATTGCATTCAAATAATACAATTTTTGAAAGCCATACTTAGTTTCACTGAACCGTCTAAACCAAGCAGGATATTGTCTGATTTAATATCTCTATGGATCACTTGATTCGAATGTAAGAAATCCAAAGCTTGTAGCACCTCTCGGCATACTGCAGCAATTTGACCTTCGTCCATGCATGTTTCTGTTACCACATCGGTCAGTGAGCCACCAGGTAAGTATTCCATTACAACCCACAGCTCCTGTATGGCAATTTAGTGTAAGGAAAATGGTCAAAATAACTTGCAACATTAGGAACAATGGTCACCAAATTAGCCAACTGTTCTTCCACTTACTTCATTAACTAAATAGCTATCTAAATAGTTGACCACATTACTGTGCTTATTCTCTCGCATGACTAGAATTTCATTTATAATCAGTTCCTTTTTAGGCTGCTGCGACAGATTCATTTGTTTAATTGCAACCTCCATTCCAGTACCTGTTTCAATTGCTGTGTAAACTGTGCCAGACGCGCTAAAATTGGTCCAACTTAGTGTTACAGCGAACAAGACAACTGCTCTAACTTACCCTTGACCGATCTTGCGCATTTTTGTGTATTTTCTGTTGGGGTCCCCAACCGACACAATGCTTCGTAATTTCTCCAATATTTCTTCATCTGACATTTTTTTCTTTCTCTTCTCTGAAGCACCGCGAGAAATTTCTGGACCGGGAGGATTCTGTCAGATATTAATTAAAAGCCTTTGACTAAAGGGAATCACATTCATAAATATTAATTACCTTGTTGCGGTCTAAAACTGCCGCAGCATTTCCTGTACTGTTTGAATTTGCTGCGGCTGACGCTGCGCATGTTGTAGTTATATGTGATGGGCTGAGGCTATGAGGCGACGCGTTCGCGTTTGATGGTTTTTCATCTTCAATAGGTTTAGTATACTACAAAAAAGTAAAATTCATTTCGATTAAATGAACCAATTGATTGACAGATAAACGTACAATACTCTTAGTACGCTCGGGTCGACTCGCAATAGGTGGCGGAGGAACTTCATCTTCAATCTCTGAGCTAGGAGCGTGCACAGGGCTGTGATACGAGTGCGGTGCGCCTTCTGTGTCTGTTGGTGTCGTACTGCTTGGACTAGAGCTCGATACTCGACTTATAGATGAACCTGAAGAAATTAAAACACAGATTGATATACCTTGATTATTTATCACATCTGAAAATTACCCGAATGAGTAGTAGCCGTAGTTTTGGTCATATACTTAGTACTCGGCGGTTCCTTGGAACTATTGTCGTACCAGTTAAGAACATCCAAAACAGCTTGCGGATTATTCTTCTGCTCCTGTTTGCTGATGTTAGAGTTCATTAGCAAACGGGACCATGCTTCCGGCATTCCCTAAAAACAACAGTTTTTTTATGACAACGTGCGGTGTGTCTGTACGTTCAGAAATGGGTTTTTAGTAAGATAGTGATGGCAGTGGTCAATGAAAAATCTACTTCTACAACAAAATGTACGTTTAATTTGCACAGGAAGGTATAAATTCAAATTCATGTTCTTACAACTACTGAATATATGATGGGGCAAAAAGGAATAAAAAGCTTAATCAACTATTGAGAATGGCCCATTTTCGGCGAACAACTCAAGTTAAGGGGGGGCAACTTCAGCTTCATTACTTGGTGTTGTAAATCATGCAAATTTATATGTGATACACTTAATCATGCTCACCAATCCCAATGCAACTAAATAAAAACATTTGAAAAACAATTTGAAATATCTTACTTACTTTTAAAGGCAGCTTGTAACAAAATGTACTTTTATTATTCGATTGTGTAAAACACAAACAATAACAAGCATCTACTCTACCAGAATTCAAAGTACCTAAACCGAGTACCAGAAGAATAAATCACTTACAGTAAACTCCCCGGATATTGGATCAAAGCCCACATGCACTGTATGCTCAAAGTTGGTTGGATATGATATATTAGGCTTATCAGAAGAGTATTTTGACAGAGTGGATGATTTCTTGGTCTTTAGGTTTTTCTTTTTCCTATCTGCATCTTCGGGTTCCTTTGGAAGCGGCCTATCAACGGTGATAGTGTTGACAAATTCCGTGCCTCTGTTTGAAGTGAGTCGAACTGGGGGTGCAGGGGGTTTTTCGTCGTCAGATGACATCTTCACTGTAATGTAGTATTATTTAAATCTACGGCTGGCTTATACTCTTTAAACTAGTATGAACGAAAACAAAAATGGATAATTTCCTTAGGAGTAAAAGTTGGTTTGTATGGGCGGGCCGGTAAAATGCGTCAGCTACACTTAGATGCCTTTATCTATGTATATTGCTGAACTCACCCTAAACTGACAGGCACTGTATTCCAAAGCACTACCAACTCGAGTTGACACTTAAATGGCAAAGCAAATAATCAAAAAGTGAACATTTATTAGACAAATATTTATGTACAAAATAATTATCTAAAATTCAAAATTGCTTTCAGAAACCACCATTTTAGTTGTCCATCATTACCATTCCTCTGTGAACACATGTCAATATTGTCTATTTCTCCAATGTTACCAATCAAACTAATCAATGTTGCCACCTACTGGCAATTGAAATATAAGAGCTAGATTCTCCCATATACTAAAGTACTACTAGCATAGAGAAAGTAAAATAAAGTTATTTTACTTTCTCTATGACTACTAGTTTCACTTGTAAATGTATATGCATTCTCCAATGTTTTGATCATAGAACAAGGCTTATGGTTCTGATCTTTGAATAAAAAAAGTTAGTTTTATCAGGTTTTATATTCAAAGGTTCTGATGGCATACTCCAATAGGTGTTGTTCTACGGTTGTGACTTGTCTGTATCTATGGTTGTGGTTAAGTTTTGTTGTCTGCATGACTGCATCTTTTTTTCGACAGAATAGTTAGTCTAATAAAAAAATAATAATAAATTAGTAATAAAGTTAGAATAGTTTGACAATCTGCGATCGTGCACAGATTATCAAACCATTCTGTCGAAAAAACGATCATGTCTTTATCTATCACACATCTATCTGTCACAGACTACTGACTATTAACATTACCTATGAACATTACTACCATAGAGAAAGTAAAATTACTTATTTTACTTTCTCTATGATTACTACTATGGGTAATTCTTTCCAGTCTGGTAATAGGATTGCCGCTTTGCCGATTAAGACTATGCTCACCTTATAGAAAATCTCGTAACAAACAACATTTTTCGACCGAATGTCATTTTCCACCCTCTAAAATTTACCAAAAACGTCAACGGTCGTCTACTATTTCCCGTATGGACGTAATTCTGCCAAGTTTTCAACCTTGAGTGAATAACTTTTTTGTTTTTATTGAGATTTTCTAAATTGGTGGCAGTTCGGCAACATGGACCAGTATGCAATTTTCGGCTGCGCGAATCGTGCGTGCGGGCATGTGCGCGTGCCACAGCAGACTGTAGTGTATGGAATTACCCTATGTACTGCATGCAGTACAATAACAACATAGACATTTACCTCTGATCGACATAGAGAAAGACAAGTATTTAACAGTAAGCCTTGTTCTATGGCCTGTCTATACCTTGTCTGAGTATTCATCTCTGTATTCATTATTCATTATATTCCAAGACTCGCAGTATTGCACATATTTGACCGACTACGTTATGGAAAAAACAGATAGGTGTCGAATTTGTCGTGCAAAAACTAACAACTTACAAAATATATTTACATGTATAGAGCTAGAAGACTGCAAAGCTACTTTGCAACTCTCCGATATGATATGTTCCTTTACTCAAGTTCAGGTACACAATTTTACCTTTTTTTCTCAGTCGAATCTGTAAGATGGCTTGCTACATAAAAAACGATTTCAATTGTTTAAACATTAAAATTACCCATTATCCTATGATAACGTAAGTTCGAGAGCTGTTTTGTGGCAAAATTTCACTTAAAAAGGACTGAATCTACAGGATGTAGATTATATATATAAAATATATTTAGTTTTGATATTTGGTCCATGGTTTGATCTTATTTTATTACAATTTTAGATCACTTTATATGATGGCCTGCCAGATCAAATTTGTGGATCCTGTACAAATGCAACAGTTCAAATGTATTTATTTAAACTAAGGATTGAAGAGAGCGACAGATTTTTGAGAAACAAACTGCTAGAAACGGAATCCAGCAGTTTATTGTCAGAAAACATTTTTCGAGTCGGTTTCGTATCCGAGAATGCGGATACCAACTCTGAAAATGTAAAAATGCTTTCTAGCTTTGATTGCCAACATTTTCTGAACCAAGACAATGAAGAAGCCGCTAAACAGGATATTAATGTAGCCAGGTCACAAAAGGCCAAGAAATGTTTTTGCAGTATTTGTAATAAAAAGTTTGCCAAAGAAGATTCACTGCTTAAACACAAGATAGGTCATCTAATGGAAGTGCGAGATGTTGAAAGCAGCATTCTGAAAAATAATGATAATATTGAATTGAAAGGACAAAACAGCCCTGTTATATATTTCAAGACTGTGGCATTAGATCCGAACAATGCGAACTTGGAAGGCAACGTTCAGTGCTTTTCATGTGTACTGTGCAATTGCATATTTCTCAATGAAGAGTTACTTAAAAAACATCTTAATGATCATGCCATCAAAATGAAATTAAATAAGATGGAAGATGGATACTTTCTTTGCAAATTGTGCGAGTATGAAACTAATGATATTCAAGAACTGAAAGTTCATACTCGCAGAAAGCACAGTGAAAAAAAAAGGTATTTGTAGAGAACCTTAATTTGATTCAGGTATACCCATATTACCATTATTTTAGCAATAATAAGTCTTTCTCTTGTTCACACTGCCTTATGGACTATTCAAAAGAAGGCTATTCGCATAATCATTTAGAGTATCACATAAACGACGAAAAGGATGTGAAGCTCTCCAAGAAAGCGGCAGGAATAAGTGATGGGTACTCCTGCAATCACTGTGATATGTTGTTCGAAACCAAAGTCCAATTACGGAGACATTTAAGAAAGTCTAACAGGGACCCACTAGTTGAGCCGGAAAAAAAACCTCACGTTTGCCAAATATGTTTGAAAGGTAACAGACAGAAATAACTACAACTTGTAATATCTTCAAAAAATAATAAAGTCATTTTCTTCAGCATTTAACCAATTATCTAATTTAAAAGACCACATGAGGACTCATAATGGAGAGAAGCCGTTTTTGTGCCCCACTTGTGGAAAAGGTTTCAATCAACAGGGTAAGTGAAAGGTTACAGATTTTTTGAAACGCTTGAAACAATGACACTTCGTCTGCGTTCAGGAAACTTAAAACAACATCAAGTGAGACACAGTGGAGTGAAGTCTCACAAATGCACTATTTGCAATTCTGGGTTTGCCAGTAGAGGGGAACTGAAAGCGCATCTCAGGAAACATACAGGTTTGTGGTTGATGAGATTTTTACCTTAATTGATTTAAAATATACGTTTAGGTGCTCGACCATTTGTTTGCAGCTCTTGTGGAAATGGATTTACCACCTCCTCCTCCTTAACGAAACACAAGCGTATTCACTCGGGAGAAAAACCGTATGAGTGCGAGTTCTGCAAAATGAAATTTTCCCGATCTGGGATTTTGACACGACACAGGCGAATTCACACTGGTGAAAAACCGTACATTTGCAACATTTGTGAAAAAGCATTCACTCAATCCAACGATTTAACTTCTCATCAACGAATTCACACTGGAGAAAAACCATATAAGTGCGACGAATGCGGCCAGCCTTTCAGACAGAGTTCAGCGTTGAAAACTCATAGAAAGGTGCATTTAGCTACCAAACCAAAGCAAATTAAGCAGCAAAGTACACCGAAAGAGAAGGCAGTTTTTGTCGAAGATGGAGAAAACTTACTAATCAGTAGTTAAATTCGAGGACTTTAATGCTGTTGATTGAAAATGGTCAGTGTTGCTGACGGGCAGCGTAGAGCCTAGTGGTGAATCGTTCGTACCTAGAACGATTCAAATCAGATACGCAGTACAATCCTGATATTTTCTTAGAAATAATATACACAAAATAAAACTCTTTCTTTGTGCACACATGCAGTTAAAATTTGAGTCTTTCGATATACAATAGAAAGAAAAATAGTTCAAATAATACGAATCGTTTATATATTTATTTATGTTGAAACTTCCTCATTGCTGCCATCAAATTCGAGTTTTACCTCTTCATGTAATCCTTCAACGTCCACTTCGGATTCGGCAGCATTCAGCATATTCAGTGTTACTTCTTGCTTCATGAGAGATGGTTGAGTCGTTTGACCTACCAAAGTGGATTGTGACTGAGCTACAGTCGTGACCTGTCTCACCGGCAAGCCTGCATCCTCAAATGCTTTCTTCTTGAGGGCTGTCCTAATTTGGGATCTGATTGTTTAATAAAAGACACTGTTATTAAGTGGACTAATGAGAGACTTGTTATGCATCACTTACACAGTACGTCTTTTAATGTGCTCACTTATTTGATTTAATCCGTCAGAGAATTGCTTAACAACTTGGCGCAGCATTTCAATTTCTTCATCCGTCCACTTTCTAGACAAACAAATATGTAAATTTGTTCAGTCTATCTAATCTAATTAACAACTTACCCACTTGGAGACTCCGAATGAGGATGCAGCTGCATAGTGAGGTCTCCCAATCTGTTAAATGCTTGACCTGCCGCTGTAAAAATTTCTCCAACCTGAAACCGTGACGCACAATTGGTAAAACACCATACAAGACTTAAGAAAACACTGAAAATACCTTGCTTGCAGAACTCATTGTAATTATTGTTTACGTTCGGGGGATATTCTATGTTTACGTTCACATGTGAAATTCTTAACCTAACAACACAGCACAGACTACATACTATTCCTAACAAAATCTCTGACCAATCCTAAAAGATGCAGCTGATAGGTGATGGGAAAGTATCGAGAAAACTATGACAGTTGTCGATAGTTCTGATTGTAGACCGAGAGCACAAGCGACTATTCACTTATCGCGTATCTTTTGTATGAATTGTGACATATATGGCATAGATGGCCTTATGCTATGACATACATCTGACTACAGAAATAAAAAACAAGGGAGAGAATTTCCCTTGTCTCTCATATTAATAAGGAAATATCACAAATTTTGCAACCTATTGCTAGGTGCTTCAGTGTACAGATCGTAGAAGATAATTTATTTTTTGTTTTATTAGTATCTACTTCCGGTTCTGGCCATTTCTCACTTAAAACAAATGCGTGTTTATTGGATGTTCAATTGAAACACAGAAAACTATCTATTTAAGATTTAACTGAATTGCAATCTTAAGTATACGGTTTGTTTCATCGTTAGTATTCTTCGGTGACTACAGTTTTCGATTTTAATTCTTCCAGCTGCTTCTTCACTTTATCAATTTCTTCGTCCTGCACAGTGACATCAACACCACAGTCTTTTTGCTCATTTCTAATGAATTCCAATGACCTGATTTTCTCCTCAAGAAAGGCTGGTTGTTCACTTTCAAATTTAAGCCTTAAATGCAAATATGTATGTATTACAATACTTAATACGGGTTAAAGAAAATAAATTACTTACCTTAAGGTATTTAGTCTCTCTTGCTTGATATTCTCACAGAACTTATCAGTCAGTTTGACTAATGATTCCTTTCTGGTAATCCAATGGAATTCGGATGGTGGTGGTTTGTAAACAATGTTCAATTGCTCAATGAGCCATTCAAACTTTTTATAGTCCCATCTTCTGAGGTACTTCAGATGCTTTTTCCTTTTATCTATAAGTTCCTTCAAACAAACTTTCAGACGTTGATTTCGAGGAAAACGTTCCACCACCTCTTGCCAAGCTCGAATGTAACCTGCCAAATAGTTTACTTTAGTACACTAAGGAATTGGGAGTTTTTCTCAAACTGAAATACCAGTCCATCGTGCTAGTCTCACTTCAATTGAACTATGGTCAAAATCATGACTTCTGACCAAATCCGTGCTTGCTTGGCGGTATGCTTTTTTCGTGCACTTACTGGGGTTGAACTCCAGAGTGAAAAGTCGTTTTACGTGCTCATTAGCAGACTCCAATTCTTTAGAATTTCTGTAATATACGAATTTAATACCAAGCGAGTTTCAAAAACACATACAAATAGTTTTACCTAAACTCTAGTAAATACTGGCCCTTGTCTTGTTCGGGTATTCCTGCTAAATCTCCTGATTTCTGAGGCTTGTAGCATGGGATTTTTTCAGGTCGAACCCATTTGATTTTCAAGTCGGTTTTAAAAGCGTAGTTACGCACTGTAAGAAGCAAAGGCTTTTTAGCTGTGATTTGTAAAAATACCTTGTTCATTTTCAATTTGCCAATATTTTTTTTGCTAAATACATAACCTTAGTTTAATGTACTGTCTTGTCAGAAATGTTTCTTTTCTGGTGTATTGATACTTACAGGGTGGCCAACTTTTCAAACGCGTATTACCGTACAAGCCATTTGAAAATACCGTATTTGAAGCTGGATTACCGTACCAGAGATTCATAGATTCATGCATGAGGCCACGACCTGGTGACAAAAAAACGGTCTTCAATCTGGATTCATAAACTTCATAATTCTGCGTTTTAGAAGTACAAAAAACTTCACTGTTATTAAAAACTGAGAAATTTGCAAAAAACTAAATTAGAAAAGCGGCAACAATATTTTTCAAGGTAATCTGGCTAATTAACATTACGTAAATACCTGTTGCTTCGTAATTATTTAAAACTCCGGTAACCATGGAATTATACAGAAAGTGACAATAAGATAGATAAGGATAAACGGTAAATTCAACAGGAATCGTTAAATGACAGAACCTATTTCGAAACTCATAACCTCGAATGATTAATTTGCTTAGAAATTACAAAAACATACATTTGAGTATGTAACTCCGAACAAGTGCCTGTGTAATCACCTTATTATGCACTCTTCTCGAGCAGCTTCTCATATTCGGTTGATTAACTCCTGCTCAATTTATACCGGACTTCAGTAATCCATTGGTTTGATTACATACGTGGTAGGAATGTAGCCGGTATATAGCCCCGGGCCTCGGTAAGATCTAGTATAAAATTAAATAAATTGCCGGGACGTCGTCAAAGGGATTGCGGCTTTGGAAAATGTCGCGACATGATGCGGACCTTTTTTTTAGAAAAAGGCCTCTGCGGGGATCAAAACCCCGGGCCATGCCACAGGTTAATCCGGCCCTGTTGGTGAAAATAAAGGGCAATTAAATACAAAAAAAATTCATTGTTAAATCAAAAACTGTCAATTTATATTAGGTATCTCAATTAAATCCACCCAAAGCTTTTAGAACTATAATGTGCCTAGTCGCCTTTTCATGCTTCAGTAAATCATGCTTATGCTAAATTAGATAAATGTGATATCCTCTGAAAACGCTCCCATCAATCGAAACTCTCCATTGCTTATCATAGCTCGTAACAATTGCGGACACTTAGCCGAATACAAACTCGACCTAATACAGGATGCTCTCAGGACGAATTCCCTTGAGACAGGGTCTGGAAACGTTAAATCTCCATTTCTTCGAAAATTTGGATCAACATCAGAGAAACAATTTAGCCTTTGTGCGTCACTGAGCATTAATGCGATTCTGGATCCAATTATAGACTGTCCCATGCTCTCTATACGAATAGGTCGTCCAACCGCTAAATCTCCTAAAAATACAATTTATAACCAGTCAGTTGCTTGGCGAGAATCAGACTTACCGATGCATTTATTGACTAAATAATCATCAAGTCGATGAGGATTGAGTTTGTATTGAAGCGAATTAAATTGAGAGATGGACATCTCCAAATCGATTGTTTCTTGAATAAAAGCTTCGAATTTATTTGGTTGGAACTGGATGTCTCTAGATATCTTTTCACATTGTCTTGCCAGACTAGATGTACGTGGTAGCAAATCTTTGGCAAATTCTTCAGTTAAACTCTCTGCTTCCACTATTAGGCGACTGATGGTTGCGTGACTTAAAACTGGTAGGATTAGCTCTGCTATTTGGCCGACAGTTCTCAATTCTGAAGACAAATATTAAGGATCCAGTAAACAATAATATTCAATTACAAAAATACATTTACCAGAATACAGAAAAGCATGTAAACATAGCATCGTAGAGATCCGGTTGCAAAATCATTGTTCTGCAAGGTGTTCGTTACAGATTTGAAGTACGTAGGGATTCTTGTTCTCAATTTTTGAACCAATAATTTAACATTCGAACATTTGTTAGAAATAATTTGCCTTTGGTTTATGTTATTGTTGATATGTTATTTAACCTTTTAATTTAATAACCAAATGGTGCAGAGAACCATTATTTAGTATATTTTGTAAAAAGGCAAAAAGTTAGTTATCAACCTCCTAGTACCATTCGATAGGTAATTAAAAATTGCATTTCCTGGTAAGCTAAAAAATATGGGGTTGTATTTAAATTAATCAAGTTATAGCCACTTAAAGTTCTTATTTGATTAGTTTAAATTTGTGGACACCCTGTATAAAATGGTAAGTTTATTATCATTGGGATATAAAATATGATTTCTTGTTACACTACACTACGAATTACGTTTACATAACTTAAATAATTCTAAAGTATTTCACACATGAAAATAATATTAGATTTTGATAAAATTCTAATTATTTAAGAAACCTTTAGATTTAGACATTATAAATCTTATTAAAACAAACACTTATTTTGCTCAGAGAATCCAAAAATGCAATAATATATAGGGTATTTCATTT